GGGAACCCGCAGTTTTGTCGGGACGGGGGCTGTCGGCGGCGAGGAACAGCACCGTCCCAAGGAAAAAGGGAGGACGCCTCGAGTGGGAGCGTTTTTCTTGCTGGGGGCGGCGCCAATTCAAAAGAGAGTTGGGCGCCAGTCCAGCGTAAAACGGGGGGAAGTTTCGAGCGGGAGCGCTGGTTTTGTTGGAGCGGCGGTTTTCGGCGGCGGGCAAGCGCACCAGCTCTGAGTAACAAAAAGAGGAAATCTCGAGCGGGAACGTTGTTTTTGCTGGGGGCGGCGCCGATGAGAGAAAGAGTAGCGCGCCAGTCTAAGGTAAAACGGGAAAAAGTCTCGAGCGGAACGTTGGTTTTGTTGGGGCGGCGGTTTTCGGCGGCGGCGAGCAAGAGCACCGGCTCTGAGTAAAAAAAGAGGACGCCTCGAGCGGGAGCGCTGTTGTTGTTGGGGGGCCAGTTCTGGCGCCCCCCCAGACTGCTCGAGCGTGAGCCTCGCTTTCGATGGAAATATAGCCGGCGCCGAGATGAGAGCGCCAGGACTTCTGCGGGGGGGTCCAACAATAATAATTGTTCAGTAATGGATATTCGTGTGGTCGCCCAAAATGGGGACGGAAAGAATGTGTACAATGCCCAACAGCAGTTCCTGTTCATTTTGAACAGGATTCGCTGTCCACGCCGCCGCGGCCTGTGTCCATTCGAGACAGAAGGCCGCCTTCCCAACAGCGGCCGCTGTTGGTTTGGGACAACATCTGTTGTCGGGCATTGTGCCCAGTTATTCCGTACCCATTTCGGGCGTCCAGAATTCAACCATAACACGAACAAAAAAAAAAACGCCCCGCGGCGGCCCGCTCCCAGCGACCGGCTGAAGGACCGGAGGCGGGATGGCCCGCGGCCGCCGACGGAGCGCGGCGTCCCCGAAGGAGGCGCGGCAGACGGCCCCGGGCCGGCCCGCAAGCCGACGCGTCAATGACGAGCCCAGGACGACGACGAGGACGACGAGGACGACGACGAGGACGACGACGGCGACGAGGACGACGACGAGGACGAAGACGACCACGAGGACGACAACTACGAGGATGACGAGGAGGACGACGACGGTAACGATGACGAGAACGACGAGGACGACGACGACGATGAGGACGATGACGAGGACGAGGACGATAACTACGATGGCGACGACAACGAGGACGACGACGACGACGACGACGGCGACGACGACGAGGACGACGACGACGACCACGACGACGACGACGACGACGACGACGACGACGACCACGACGACCACGACAACCACGACGACCACGACGACGACGACGACGACCAGGATCACGACGACGAGGACGACGACGAGGACGACGACCACGAGGACGACCACGAGGAGTCGCCATGAGGTGAACGGCTCCTCCGGGGGTCTCCAGACGTCGCGGTGACCGCAGCGTTTGGTGAGTCAGTGGGGATTCAGGGTTCTCGGTCGTGTTCGTCGGTTCCTGGGGCTCCTCCTGCCCCAGGATGCGTTCCTGCAGCGGCGCCTCGCCGAGAGCGTTCTGGGGGCGTCCAGATCGTCCCGAACGGCCGCTGGACCCGAGTTGCAGCCCGGGTGTGGTGAGTGAGTGGGGCCAGTGTTCGGCTACGCTTAAGAGTGACCTTTCGCCGGATTGACCTTTGGTGCGGTGCCACTGGGGTCCCCGATAGCCGATCGCGAGGCGGCATTGGCGTGTTCCGCGGCTGTGTTTAGCCCCCCGTACGGCCCCCAGAAAACCGCACACCAAAGGTTACCCATACCCAGGGCCACTCCTGCGCGAAGCCGAAGTGTGGTGATGGGCGCCGCGCGCATGGGGGGGGGCGCTAAAAGCGGGGGCAGGAGGAGGAGGGCGAGGAGGAGGAGGAGGAGGAGGAGGAGGAGGAGGAGGAGGAGGAGGAGGGGGAGCGGGAGGAGGAGGAGGGGGAGGAGGGGGAGGAGGAGGAGGAGGAGGAGAGGAGGAGGAGGAGGAGAGGAGGGGGGAGGAGGAGGGGGAGGAGGAGGAGGAGGAGGAGGAGGAGGAGGAGGAGGAGGAGGAGGAGCCATTCAAGGCCCCTGAAGGGGGCCCTTTCGGGGCCTTCGGGGCCCGAGGAGTGCACCTTTCCTCTCTCCCCCGCCCCCCCATTTTCCGCCCCCCCCCACAGGAAGCGACGCCCGAGGGTGTGGTGAGTGTCACCACCCACCAAACGACCCCAACCCAACCCGAAGGCTCAGATTTACCCTCGATTTCCAGTGGGGGGGGGTCGGGAAACATCGAAAAAACTCGTGTGGAACCCTTACCCCCCCCCAACCCGAAATTCGGGTCTTCGGGTTGGGTTGGGGTGGTCTGGTAGGTAGTCAGAGTGGGTGGGGCGAGGCAGCAGTGGCGTCTGCCGTGCTTGCCCTGACCTTCCAGGAGGGCCAAAAAATAGCACCCGGCGTAAAAACCTATCCCAGAGCTATGTTACGTCTTGGTTTTAGGCTGTGTCGTCTCGTGTTTTAGGTTTTTAGGCTTCCAGTGCTAAAAGATAGCTCTCTGGAAGGTCAGGGTGTGGCCGCCCGCCCCCCCGGCACCCCAAAAAAAACGCGCAGCAAAGGTCACTCTGTCCCGGGGTCACTCCTGCGTGTCGCCGGTGTGTGGTGGGTCAAGTGCGGGTTCGCAGTGGCCGCGCGGTTTTGGGGGGGCCCCGGCCGCTCTCCGAAGACGCTCTGGGGCGACCTGGGGCCTCTCCACGGTGCCCAAAAGCTTGCGGCGAGGTATTTTTTGCGATTCCGAGGTCACCGCACTTTTTCTACAAGCGCGAAGAAGCCCATTGGCACGGAGGAGGAGGAGGAGGAGGAGGAGGAGAAGGAGGAGGAGGAGGAGGAGGAGGAGGAGGAGGAGGAGGAGGGGGAGCAAGAGGAGGAAGAGGAGCAGGAGGAGGAGGGCGAGGAGGCGGAGGAGGAGGAGGCGGAAGGGGGGGGCGGGGGGAGGAGCGCGCCCGCGCGCTCGCGAAGTAGTCTGGCGCCCCTGGCCGCTCCATGGCAGAGGTCAGCGCACGGTCCGTCACACCACACGGCATCGGGAACCCCACGAGTCGCCATGGAGCAAACGGGCCGTGAGGTCCCCAGCTCTCCGACGAGGTGGTTGTTTCCATCCCGGGCGCCTTTTCCTCGATCTCGGCGTCTGGAGCCCGTCATCGTCGGGGGCGGAAAAGAGGGGGGTGATGACTAGGGGGGGGTGGATATCATGGCGTGGGCCATGACATTTCCCCAGATTTCGTGGCGCCTCTTCTTGTTTCATTACGTCCCCGGCCCCCCCGCTGGGCCGCGCACATGCCGCCGGTCATGATTTGCGCCCCCCCCTCTTGGACACCCCCCTCTTGGCCGCTCCCGACATCGGGTTCCAGGGCAACCTAAAAATCACACCAGAGAAAAACTCCAATCAGAGTGGATGGTTTTCGCGATCGACCCGGAACCCTGGAGCCGGGGAACCCAGAACCCACCGAAATCGGCCCAGAACCATTAACCGGGAACCCGGGAACCCAGTTTGCTACCAACATCGGCGGGAAATGTTCGCCAAATCTTTCAGTTTCCCCTACAGGACCCCTTCAGTGCAAGCACTGATTGGGGAAGGATCCGAGGCGCAAAAGTGGCCCTGGGGAAGGGGTCGGGACTTCTGGGGCCGCGGGGTGACAGCAGTCATGTCGTCGGATGCCTGGGAAGTGGCCATGCAGTGGACATCGGGTCCTGAGCTTTGTTCGCCGCTGTCGGGCTCCCTCGGGGCCCGTGATGCTCAAACGGCGACTCGGGAGGACGAGCTGGTCCTGGGGGAAGGCCTCGGGTTCGCAGCGCGAGGCGCCAGAGTCTGCAGAGCGGGCGCTTCGGCCCTCGACTGCACTCGGCGGCGCGCACACGGGGGTGGAGCGAGGGGGGCAGCCTTCCGAAAGGAGGCGGCAGAGCTCCCAAGAAGGCCGTGGGCGTCTTTAGAAGCCCTTTCGGCTTCTGAGGAGCCTTCTGAGATTCCTCCGGCCCCTTCTAAGAGGGCCCCTACCTCATTGAGACATCTTCCCTCCTGCATTCTGGAGAGGCCACCCCCCTACGCGTGCCCACGACACTCTGTTTTGGGCGTCATCGTCGGTTCCTGGCGGTTTCCCTGCCTCGGGATGCGTGCCAGCAGCTGCGCCTCGCCGAGAGCGTTCCAGGGGCTCCCGATCGTCCCGAACGGTCACCGGAGATCCGAGTTCTGGCACAAAAGCTGGAGCAGAGCGGGAGTTGGCAGCGCGTCGGAGTGACCCCTCGCCAGAGTGGCCTTCGGTGCGCGGGCCTTCGTGTGGCCCGCATGTCTTTGGAGTGGGCGCCTCGACCCCTAGGATCGCAGGCCTACAGGTTGACACCAACACCAATATCGGCAGTGTTCCTCCACCGAGGGAAGAAGATCCCGATCTCGGTGATGGTGGTAATATTCTGGTTTCCAAGGTGACCAAAATATTTTCCACCAACACCGAAATCTAAGATCATCTCCCCCCTGTGGAGGCAGCCCCCTGTCTTGGTGTTGGTGCCCATTTCCAGGCCTCCAATAGAGGGCATCACAAGGCCACCATGTCTGGCTGGAGCCCTGTGGAATCGGGCCCTCGGATGGCGCCTTCACCGGTCTGGTCTCGTCCGGGGGGGAGTCCACGCAATGCCAAACGAAGGATAGCTCTGGCCAGGCATGGCGGTGGTGCACAGGTGCTGTCCCTCTCGCCCTCTCTCTCTCTCTGCCTCTTTCTCTCCATCGTCACCGTCCTCATGCTCCTCCTCCTCGCCACTCTCCTTCCTCTCCTGCTCCTCAGCGATCTTCATCCCCACTCACGCCCTCCGTGGGTCCCCGGAGGCTTCTGGAGGCCCTGAAGCCCGAACGCGTCCAAGACCCTTCTCCTCGATTCTCCTCCCCCGCCTCCGTCTCCTGTTCTCCTTCTCCCCCCCCCCTCTCCATCCCTGCCCTCTTTCCCTCTGGGGCGAGGTACGGTGGAGAGGCGAAGCAGCCTCGGCAGCGCCCCTGATCGCGCCCGAGCGACGCTCGCCGGCCGATGCCGCGGCCGTGATTTTGTCTCGGTCGCGCCCCCGCGAAGCACGAATTTCTCAAGGCGGTCTCCTCCCGCCCGCGTCCGCCCTGCCAGCCCGCCGAGGCGCCCCTCCCCCGACCCTGCCCCGCTCGCGCCGCGCAGCCGCCGTGCGCCCGCCGTGCGTCCGCCCCACCGCGCCGGCCTCGCTCCCCGACGACGACGACGACGACGACGACGACGACGACGACGGCGACGACGACGACGACGACGACGGCGACGACGGCGACGACGACGACGACGACGGCGGCGGCGGCGTCCGCGGCGGCGACGGCGGCGGCGTCCGCGGCGGCGACGAGGATCCCGACGACGAGGACGACGACCACGAGGACGACCACGGCAACGGCGGCCGCGGCGGAGGCGACGACGACGCCCGCGGGGCGGCTCTCCGAGGGGCGCCCGCGGCCGGCGGCGCGCCCGCGCCAGCGGGCGCCGGGGCCACGCCGCGGGCTTGGCCCGTCGAGCGGCCGGCGGGCGCCGTCGCCGTCGGTCGTCGTCGTCGTCGTCGTCGTCGGTCGTCGTCGTCGTCGTCGTCGTCGCCGTCGTCGTCGTCGTCGTCGTCGTCGTCGTCGTCGTCGTCGTCGTCGTCGTCGTTCGTGGTCGTTCGTGGTCGTGGTCGCCCTCGTCGGGGAGCGAGGCTGGCGCGGTGGGGCGGGCGGGCGCACGGCGGGCGGACAGCGCCGAGGTCCGTGGCTCCCAGAGCCTCCTCGCGGTCGCGTCGTGAACAACTACTCCAGATTTCCTACTAAAAGGGAGGGGGTCTCAACCCTCCCAGACGAGAAGTTTTAGACCCCCCCCCGTGGGAGAACCCTCCAAAGCATCGTCCCCAGACCCCCCCAGGCCCTCCAAGATAGCCTGGAAGAGACCCCCCCCCGAAATGAGACCCCCCTCCCTTTACTATGAAATCTGGAGTAGGTGACAAAGAGGTTCTGCCCAGGTCTCGAGCCAAGCGGTGTTTTGGGCGATCCCGTGGGCCGTTTGCTTTCTGAGGTTGCCTCGCAGCAGGGGCAGAAGGGAGTCGGAAAGGAGGAGAACGAGAGCAAAACGAAAACGAGGGACTCTGCTTAGCTCGAGCCCTGGACAAGACGTAACACAAAGGTTCTGGCCCACCAGACAGGTTGAGGCTGGAAGGTGTTGGAATATGTTTGCCAGTGCGGGCCCCAAGCAGTGAGAGATTGCACCGTGGGTGTGTAGGGCACGTGGTGCAAGATGTATGTGGTGCAAGCTGTGTGGTGCAATTCACCTTGCAGATCTTGAAGTGGTCAACTCCACTGCTCGCGCAATCGTGCCACCATCCCACACGCAAGTGGTTTTACAAAACCCATGCGACCGCGATTTCGGTGACTACTTGGCACTGGCTGATGCATATGGCATCTGTGTGGGTCGTTGGCGCGCGTAAGATCGCGCGCAGAAAGGCCGGCTGATTTGGCACAGCCGACGCATCCGCGATAGCGCTTACTGGATGGAACTTCCCAGCACGTCTCAAAGGCCGCGTTGGCGCGCGAGCACTAGCACTTCAGTGCGACTCAGTAGCTCAAACGTGCGCGGTATTACGATGACGTCGACAACGGCGGCAATCATGATGGTGATGGTGAGGATGATGATGGTGGTGGTGGTGATGATGGTGAGAATCGGAATGACGATGCTGAAGATGATGATGGTAATGGTGATGGTGATGATGATGATGCTGCTGCTGCTGATGATGATGATGATCATGATGGTCGTAGCGATGGTGGCGATGATTACGAGTACGACAGCAAGACCAAGGTGCCGATGCTCGTGACGACGATGACGATAATTATGTCCATTTGTTGGTGTTGAGTTTGATTGGCTCATGATGGCGGCAATGGCGGCGATTGACGGTGGCGACAGCGGTGGTGATGCGTTGGCGTTGATGCGGGTGATGGTGAGGAAGTTTGCGGATGCTCTTGAAAAGTATGGTTTAGTTTTTGATGCGTTTGAAAAGCTCTATCTTGAAGCGTTTTGAACACCAATCGTGTTGGAATCATTTCCACATGAGCGCGTGGCAGCGCACGCGTCTGGCCCGCATGGCATTTTTTTTGGTACGGGGTCGTGCACAGGGCGCATGCTATGTCAACAAGGGCGCACCGCGTGATGAAATGAGAATGTGGGTTCTGCGCGAGACTCCTAACACCATTTGATTTGCCCATGCTTGCAGCACTTGTGCGCGGGCAGAGAATCTGCAATATTAGAGATGACGGGCCTGAGATTTTTCCATGCCTTTAATTTGACTTGCCCGCGAACCCGCTGCGTTTGGTATGATTCAGACATGTGCGCGGTTGTGGTCTTCGTGCATCTGTTTTTTTTGCCAGGGGTTCTTGGCAGATGCTCTTTTGAGATAAAACCGGTCGCGCGCGGACGTGAATCGGTCCTGGCCTCTCTGGGTGCTCGCGAGCATCGAACTGGCGCCAGTGTGTGAGCCCTTGCAGTGTCTCTCGGAGGCTCGCAGGGTCGCCGTTGTCGTCGTGCCCGTCCGTCGTCGTCGTCGTCGTCGTCGTCGTCGTCGTGCTCGTCGCCGCCGCGCTCGTCCCTGCCGCCGTGGCCGGCAGCGGCGCCCAGCGGGCGGTGCCCGTGGCTCCGAGGCCCGCGGAGCCCAGCTGCCCGGTGCCCCCGCGCTCCGCGCGCAGATCCAGCGCCGCGCGGCCACAGGAGACGGCTCGCCATGTTCGGGTCTGTGGCCTTGGGGGCGCCGTCAGGGGCAGCGCTGGAAGGGAGTCCTCCTCCTCCTCCTCCTCCTCCTCCTCCTCCTCCTCCTCCTCCTCCTCCTCCTCCTCCTCCTCCTCCTCCTCCTCCTCCTCCCCTCCTTCTCCTTCTCCTTCTCCTCCTTCTCCTCCTCCTCCTCCTCCTCCTCCTCCTCCTCCTCCTCCTCTCCCTCCTCCTCTCGTAGGGGGGGAGGAGCCCTGGGGAGGGGCCTCTCCTCGAGAGGTTCCGCGGCGTCCTCGTCGGTTCTCGGCTGCTCTCTCCAGCCTCGGGATGCCTTCCGGCGGCGGCGCCTCGCCGAGGGCGTCCTGAGAGGGTGCCCGGCTCGTCCCGAACGGCAGCCAGAGAGCCGAGGTATGACCCGAAAGCCGAGAAGGATTGCAAAAAAACCAAGGATTGCAACAAAAAAAACCCGAAGGATTGCAACAAAAACCCAGGATTGCAAAAAAAAACCCGATTGCAAAAAAAACGGATTGCAACAAAAACCGAAGGATTGCAAAAAAAAACCGAAGGATTGCAACAAAAACCCGAAGGATTGCAAACAAACCCTAAGGATTGCAAAAAAAAATCCGCGAAGGATTGCAAACAAATCGGAGGTATGACCCGAAAGCCGAGAGGATTCCTAGGGCCTCGCAGAGGGGGGGTATATCCAGCCGCTGCCAGAATGGAGCAGATCCCTACCCCTAAGCTTGGCATCAGCTCATCTCGGCGCCGATCTCGAGGACCTTCGGAGCGTCTTGGAATTGTCTATCTTGACAGGGATGAAACCCAGACTGGGCAACCAGGCCCTGCCCATCTGAGCCCCGCCTCCTCCTCTTCCGCGCTCCCTCCTCCTGCCCCCTCGTACCTCCTGCCTCCACCCCCTCTTCCACCTCGCTTCCCTGCCACCGTCTCCTACTCCTCCTCTTCCTATTCCACCTCCCTTCCCTCCTCCTGCTCCTCCGGCGCGTCCCCATCCTGCTACTCAGGCTGTATCCAAGTTGGCTCAAGGTGATCTCCGCGCGCGGCAGGGCACGGATACCGCTGATCCGCGCCCTGGCCCAGCTGGTTGGTGATCTCCTGTTGGAGCAGGGCCCTCTCGCTTCCCCAGCACACGGGGTGGCGGGTACTTGGAGACCTTTCCGGTTCCTGCTGCCCCGTGCGCCCCGCAGTGCTCCATGGCGCCCGCTCGTGATGGTGCTGCTTGTCCTCCACCTCTGTGGAGCGATCGCGGCATGCGGCTGGCCGAAGGCTCCCGATGGGGTGAGGCCGGCACATCGTTGTTCCAACCTTCTGACGCTGACGGGCCCTGGCGGGTTCCTGAGTGGAAGAAGAGTGTCCGGCTTCACGAAGTTTCCTCGTCCTGTGGGCATCGGGAGTTCAAGAGCAGCAGCCACCAGATGTGCTCCAGGCGCGGCGGTTCGTTTCAGTCCGACACCAAACCTGGCTAGTGTAGGACCTGGAAACATGAAGCTGGTGCAAAAGAGGTTGCAGAAGGGATATCGGATGGAGTTCGTGAAGCAGCTGCCAGACTGCTGGCAAGTCGGCCCGAGTAGCAGTCTAACCTTGGCGAGTTCGCTCCTCCTCCTAGCCCGCCCTGATGCTGTGTTCTAATGCTTGGGCACAGCCGCCAACACGAAGAAGACAAAGCTGGCCAAGCAAGGCGAGGATGCATCTCGCAAAGTTCCAGGATAGTTCTCTGAGAGCTAAGATGGCTTCAGATTTGAAGCTGGCAGCAGAGGGTAGCCCAAGAGCTCTTTCCGACGCCAGTCAAGGATGCCCGCAGCAAGTCCTGTGAGGTTGCAGCGTGTCTTGGCAAGCATTTTCCTTCTCGTTGTCAGTACGCTGCCGGAAGCCCTTCCGCAGCTTTTTGGAAGCTCCTTCGAAGCTCGTTTCTCGAGCTTACAAGCTTCCCAGACATCCTTTCAAGCGTCGTTGCAAACGTCTCCCAGAGGCGTCTCGCGCGCTTTGGACTGCTCCGCTATCCGGGTTTTGGACGCTCAAGTTCGACTGTGCTTGCAAGAAGTTTAACAGAAGAAGGCGACTATATGTATACATACATCTATTTAATAGACGTAGACAATTTGATGAGGCAACTGGCACGCTTTTCGCCGCGAGCGCTTCCCAAGAGTAAGCTGAGACGTGCCATCTCGAGGCTGATCGTGAACTGTAGGCCTTCGCGTCCGACCAATGGTTTGCAGAAAGCACGTCGCTCCTGCGCCTGGATCGTTCCCCCACTGCCTCCAATCCCCTCGGCCCCTTGTTCACTCCTCGGCGTACAGTCAAGGCGCTGGCAGAAGGACAGCTTTAAAGCTCAGGAGGTGCCCTGGTTGTCGTGGGCCCTTGTCGTGACCGAGGCTCGCCGGGGCCAGAAGGGCCCGTTCGATTATTTGTTTCAACGTGGTAGCACGGTGGCAGCACCCTCGTCGCCACCCACCCGCTTCCCCCATGACTCTGCCGGGATTCGGCATGGAGCCTGGTGCCGAACACGAGGATTCATACGGTCGGGAACGTGTGCTCAGCGCGTCGCGCCGCCACTTCTGGCCCACCAGGCTTCTGCGCGACAGGCGAACCACGTTCCAGTCTTCAAGCATAAACGTCCCGATCTTCTCCCAGCATCCCTTCCCGCGGAGCGGAGCGACACGCTAGCAGCTCGGAAGACATAACGTGTTGCTGCGGCCGCCGCTGTGAACGTGTCAGGCTGCACTGGATGAGTGTCCCAGCACCCAGCACCCAGCACCTCCACCATGTGTCATCGCTTCGCTCACTCCGCTGGCCCATCTTGCAACACTGTTACTATATATGGCGGGCGAGATTGAGCATAGGGGACTCGATAAAGGAGGGGTTGAGGAGGAGAAGGAGGAGGAAGAAGAGGAGGTGGAGGCCTCTCGCCAGCTTCTTGGGGCATTCTGGGGACCAATCTGGGTCGCGGACCAGGCGCCTGTGTGGAAGGCCTCTTGGGGTCTATTGGGAAGCATCTCGGGCCCCTCTGGGCGCCATTTTTGGGACATCCTGGGGCCTCTTGGTGGCTCCGTGGGGCATCCATTTTGGCTTCTGGGGGCCTCTTGAGGTTTCTTGGGAGCCTGCTGGCGGTTTCGGGGGCCAATTGTCGGAGAATGCTCGATCTGTCTGTCCGGGTTCCCCCTCTTGGGGCCCTCATGGGAGCCTCTGGAGCCCTCTCGGGGGGCCTCTTGGGCCGTATTGGGGCCCTCTTGGGCCGTCTTGGGGTCGTCCTGGGAGCCTCTTGGGCTGACTCGGGGCGGTCTTGGAGGCCACGTGGTCTGTCCTGGGCGGTCGGAAGCTTGAAGAGGTGGCAACGCCAAAATCTTTCAAACACGCACTCGGAATCAATGGTTTTATGCCTCTTCGGCCCTCTTGGGGTCATCTTGGAGCCCTCCTAGGACATCTTGGACGCCCCTTGGGCCGTCTAGAGACAAACTTGGGCCATCTTGGAACGCTCGTGGCCTGAGGCCGTGGGGTCTGCCACCCATTTGGCGCCTCCTTGGGGCACTTCTGAGCCCCAGGGCCGCGCCTAGGAGTTCCGGCACCCGTGACCCGATCCTGCTGGAACTTGCCGGGGTTCTTTCGTTCGACGACCCCACGAGGCCTCCTCTCGGCGCGCGAATTAAACACATTCTGAAACTCTTACCAGAGATTCCCGTGCCTCCATTTCATTTATCACGGGTGATGGCTTGATTAGGGGCTCGGCCATGGCGTCACCAGACGTCGCAATCGCACTACCACAGCCTCGCCGCAGCTCGTATGGGCATGGGTGTGCATGAGGTTTGTGCCGCCAAGCTTGCAGCGTGCTGCACCCGTTGCCGCCCTCATGCTACGCCCATGCCGCTGCTGTAGCTCGTCGTCGTCGCCGTTGTCATCCTCGCCGTCGCCACCGCCGTTCACCCCCGTCGTCGTCGACGCCCCCCCGTCGCCCTCGGCGTCGCCGCCGCCTCCCCCCGTGGGCCGCCGATGCCCTCGGTCGTCCTCGTCCTTCTGACCGTCTGCCGTCGCCGCTAGTCGACGCCCCCGCCGCCGCCTGCGAGGAGCAGCCCGCCGCGCAGCCACCGGCGCCGCGGCGCGAGCAGCGCGCGAGCTCGGCGGAGGAGCCCCGTCGCGGGGCAGGGGCCGGGCGCTCCGGAGGGCCCGCGATGGCCCAGACGCCCTCCATCTGGAGTTCCTCCTCCTGCTGTCGGGTCCATCGGCCACCCTGGGATTGCTTGGGGTCGGAGCGCTCTCGTGTCGGACTGTCTAGGGTCCCGTTCTCCAGGCCGCGAGTGGCAGTTGGCTTGGATTCTGCAAGGCAAGCACCCGTCCCGCAAGGAATGCCGAGTCGGAGCAGCGCGATCGCTCGCCGACGATTCTCGAACCCTCCTGGCCTCGAAGTTTGGCCTAGGAGGTGCGCCCGAGCTTGGACCCGACCCCGCTGTTGAGCGGATGGGGGTCGACCTCATCCGAGGCCTTGCGCTATTTGGTTTCTCCTCCCGCGCTCAGGCCGAAGGCCTGGGGCAGCGGGTCCTGGACAGCAGACGCCGCGAGGAGGCTGATCGCTCGGGCGATGGCTTTTGATGCCCTTCTCTGGATGGGCGGGCTGTCTTTGGGATGCATGTTTAATGTGGTGGCACCTTCAGCTGGCGTGGATCTCCTCCTCCTCCTCCCCCTCCTCCTCCTCCTCCTCCTCCTCCACCTCCTCCTCCTCCTGGTCCCTTCCTCATCCACCTCCAC